CTGTTATTAGTTATATATCAAAAAATTTTTTACACCAGATGTAGTACGCTTTAGTTTACTGAAAAATATGGTATATAGTATATGTATGTTGTTGAAACATGATTTTTTTCTAAAGTAAAATGTAATTTGTCAAAAAATCTATTCATTATATCGATATATTACTATGAATAATAAAAATTTATTATCGAAGAACTTTATGATATTTCAAAGGGTATCATCAAGAAAAAAATCTCTATGTCAAAGATAATATTAAAATCGGAGAGACGAAGAAAATATGGTTACGTTCTCACGAGAATGGGCGATGTAGGGGCCCATTCTTTATTTTCAGTATATATATATGTATATATTCATAGAATATTATAAATTCATTCTGTTGCAATTGAAATAAATATGTAACGTATGGTATAAATATTTATTATAATTATATAAACAGTTACATATATACTATTAAATAAAATGTATATGTACAGAATATATATTTATATACATATATTTATTGTATATTTATATATGTGTATACCATATATTTCAATTTTTTCTAACTGTATTGCATAAATTGTAGCTTATAGAAAGTTACGTGATAAAAATCGAAAATATATATAATGCATATATATATATATATACATTTGTGATACTTGCATTACTAGAAAGCTACTCCGTATATCTGTACTCTGAAAAGTAGGTGATATCCCAAAAAAATCATAAAAATGAAAAGTCAGGCCATGTTCAAAAAAAGATCCTCAAAAATTTAAACCTTTAAAAATTCAAATGATTATCTAAAATAATATATTACCATGAAAAGTAACTGATATATTATTAATAAACGTGCCAGTTCAAAGTGAACATACATAAAGTGTATATTATCTAAATTTAATAATATATTACCATGAAAAGTAACTTGTATGTTATTCAAGGTGCAAATTCAAAACAAACATACATATATAGTAAGTAAAATAGATTACAATTTGATTCTAGAAAATAAGTCGATATGTATGTTATTATTCTTAGTGAACAAAATATAAAAGTCGTTTATTGAGATTTGATTTGAAATTTATACTAGCCCGTACGATGAAAAATAATTGCTTGTAATTCCAGAGTATCAATTTGTTAATGACTCGGAAAAAGAACATGGCGGCCTGCT